TACATACATACATACATACATACATACATACATCAAAATATTTACGTAAATATAACAAAATATGCATCAACAAAAAAAAATTAATAATAAATGGCTTGGCCTAAGTCATTAGCAGGATTTCTTTTAAAAGTTGGAAAAGAAATACAAAAACAGTCTTCAAAATTCTCAGCAAAGGACGTCTGCTGCAGTTGTACCAGAGAGCTTGAATAATCAGTTTAATAACATTATCCGGGCTGTGCTCTGTGGCGCATGCAACAGCTAATGGAGTGTCATTGTTAAACTGCCGCTTTGCCCATTATTAACAACGGCCTACGGTCATCCACACACCGATAATAAAACCACATAAAATCCAACATAACTTCAATGGACAGGCGTAATGAAATTCTCAGCATTATGAGCACGGTTCTGGTAATAAGCAGTGGTGGTGCAGCGTGAAGTTAAGGGTTACAAAGCAACAGAGGAGAAAATTAAAACGATGAACTTGTTGTATATGATGATTATTATTTTTTTTGGATTCGAAGTGCGACAAGTTGGAGATGACTAAATTTAGCTGAGTGAAAGAACAAGCAGCAGCAGCTAACCTTCCCGCTCCTGTAATGAATGGTCAAATTACATGAGTTTATGGTTATTCTAAGAGTGTTAGTCCAAATTTGTGAATGCATGTATGGACAAATTGACTGAAATTGAGTTTTGTATCACTTGAGAGATAAAGAAAAAGGAGACAGGACTGCAGAGCATTAAGTAAAGATCATTCCCTCGGAGTAAGGTCCCTCAAACTGAAAGGGAAGGTCAGTAAACAAGATGATGCAAACCCAGGTTGGCATGGGATCGAGAAGATGTGTGGTCAAGCGAGAACTCATGTCCGGCTTTCATCAAATTGTCAATACTACCCAACCACTTTTGTTTCTCTAAAATAGGACAAAATCAATGACACACAGAAAGAGAGTAAATAATATATTTTTAGAAGCCTTTTAATATCAAAGAAATTCAAAGTACAGTTTCAGAGCGAAAAGTGCTTGAGTGCAGCCACAGTACCAAGACAATAATAAGCTTTTCAAATAGTTTGAACTGGTTCTGCTTTTGGGAAAGAAAAGTTGAGAGAAAGAGAAATAATCAACAAAATAAAACCTTGTCTTATCACCCAAATAGTTCTTTTTATAATAAACAGTGCATGCATTTTCAAATGAAAGGAGAGGGCACTGTGTGGAAAAAAAATCCCTGCTTTTACAAATACCCAAGATTCTTACGGAGCCCGCGAGGGAACACGGGGGATTTTTTTTTCTTTTTGCATTCCCACGCAAAAGTATTGCGTTACCTTGCAATACCTTTTGCGTTCCCTCGCAAAAGTCATTTGACACTGTTATGCCTGTCGTTTTATTAACAAATTCACCTGCTCACCATTAGCGAGTTAGCCTATGCTTTAATTCAGCTTCAGAATGAATCACACAGCCACGCATGGAAGTATGTCATGTGCCGATATTTTAACACAGTGCAGCCACACTACATCACTGTCAATTTCACGAACTTGTGGCGACACATCCTGTTTTGGTAACCGGATATTTCAAAATAAAAGTTTGATTTAATTCAGTTCATATACAAAACAATCTTTTGCGTGCAAACAATTTTGCGAGGTAACGCAAAAGTTTTGCGAGGTAACGCAAAGATATTGTGAGGTAATGCAAAAGGTATCGCGAGGGAACGCAAAAGAAAAAAAATCTCCCATGTCCCCTCCCGGGCTCCGTAGTTTCTTTATTATCATGTTGCTAAGAATGTAGCTCGCCAGTTTTTTTTCCACGCTGCAGCGTAAATGAAAAGAAAATTGCCAAACCTTTTTTTCTGTTCAAGATGTGGAACTGCAGCCTACACTTACAGGCAAAACTGCTTCTGCATCTTTAAAAGCAATCATTCAGTATTATTTTATACACCCAGCTTGTTCCTGATTTGGATTTTACTTTCAACGCACTCTTCGAAATTCTCTCCCCCTGTTTTTTTTTTTTTACCTCCCTCCCTTTTGACACATGTATCTCTCTCATTCTTTGGTCACTCACTCCCATCTTTCTCGCTCCTTGCTCCAACCTCCTCCTCCTCCTCCTCCTCCCACCTTTACTCTCATCTTCCCACCCGCTTATGCCGTCACACCAGGGGCTGGCTGTCAGCGCAGGTGGAGGGAAGAGACTCCACACTCGTTTTGTAGATGGGCTTTTTCTGAGAGCGGTCATCACTGGAGAGAGGAAGAAAGGAGAGAGACAGAGGTACATGATTATCAGTTTATCGATCTTTCAGTAGGCACTCGAAAAAATATGTGAGGAAATTATAGTCTAGAACCGAGCACTGGAGACACACCTGGCAGGAGATATGAAAGTCAATTATCCCATTTCCCCCCCACTACATTACCACAAATCCACACCATTTTTATACTCTTAACTAAGACCTTGAGAAAAATGTGTAATCAGTTCATGTAGGGAAAAAAAAACTTAATGGATACACGTATATGAAGCTGCATGAGGTCATGGTGTGCATGATTGTGCCGTTAGCTAAGGGGATAATTAAGGGTTCCATTAACTTTCTTCCCAGTGCTGTCGCCATTTTAACACAGGCTATTCAAATTATTTTACTTGCTGTTAAAAGACTGTGTGTTTTAATAAACAGGAACTGGGAGCAAGAGTATTAAAAGGAAAAAAAAGATCAAGGATGAGGTCAAGCAAGTCTGATCTGCCGAGATGGGTTTTAATATTCAGTCTGAGAAATGCTTTTTCAGACACAGCCAAATGCTCGTACACATGAATAGATTTTAAACAAAAAACGGTTTGCACTCTGTAAGTAAAATAGCCTTGATTCTATCACATGAGGCAGAATGAAATATCCCAGTAATGGCTAAACCTGTCCTCTAAAGTCCAAACTGCAGGTGGAGATTGAGGAAGTGAGTTAGGGAAAATAAGAGGGTGAATAAACAAACACGTTTGACTGCTTTCAAAGACATGTTATCCATCAGGGTTTTAAAGCTGATTTAAGATGCTATTAACTAAAGTGATTTTAAAGTGGCGAACCTGTATGAGTGCTTAAAAAGAGGAAGCAGGAAATTATTTTAGCAAGACGACAGTAGCTGGACGAATCACCTTCATGTTTGGCTCTTATAAGATTAGAATCAYGGCTCTTCCTCAAACAAGCCAGTCTGACCAGAATAATGAGGGAGCTAAACGGATGCCCTGTTCTTAAAGGGGCAATATCATRTAAAATCAACTTTTTTGAGTTTTATATCATGTTATAATGTTATACTCTCATAAAAAACATGCCCAAAGCCTTGCTTTGACTCATTCATGAATGTTTGAGAAATCCTGCAGCGTTTTTAGGAAGCCATGTATGCTGAGGAGCAAAACGACAGGTGGGGACCAGAAACACATTTTGGGACCAGAAACGCCCCTGGGACGTGTCTTTAAGCCAAACTTCCTCATGGCAGAGAGCGCCCCCTCCCCCATCCTCACGCACCCCGCCCATGACTCCTGCAGGCTCTCGGGTGAAAGTGAAACTTAAACTGTCTGCTGAGCTCCCAACATTAGTTCTCACTCAGTGAGGCTCTTTTCAGATTAAAAATACCTTTAAGAAAATGTATTTTCAGATGCCAAGTAAACTGCATCATAGCGACCACACCMCGCACGCGAGCGCACCCCACCCCCTGCTATGAAATGGGTGAAACAGAAGCGGAAGGTGGTTCTTAAAGAGACAGAGGCCAATTTCAAGGCATTTAGTAGAGGAAGTGATGGGAAGATAAGTTTATTTTCTATTTAAACATAAAAACAGCATTTTAATAACAACTAAAGGTGACATAGATACTTTATTATGGTATAGTATTTAAATGTATGCCTGAGAAACACATAACATTGCCCCTTTAAAGTAACAAGCACAGGCAAAGAAAAGTGACCAGACACAAACAACTCAAACAATTCTTACATGGGTCCCTTGCTGGTCCTGACCCGCTTGGCCCTGCGGCACAGGAACACAGTCAGGGAGAGGATGAACACRAGGAGAGACACCACCGTAGCCGAGGTCGTCAACCAGAGACGTCCATTTGTAGTCTCGTACCAGGCGGCGTCCTCTGTGGGACAGGCATGAAGGGAAAGACGTCTTACACGGAATCCAAAATCAGCACAGCAAAATGCCTCTAGGCAAAGTGTCTGTGGGCAACCTTATGCTTGTTTGGAAAAGAAAAAAAAAAGATTTTAGTGCTCAGACAAGTCATAGTTCTCAGTGCAGCAACGACCTGCAAAAAGTCTGTGTGTAAGAATTTAAAACAACAACAAAAAACGAATAAAGTGTGTGTGTGTGTGGGGGGTGATTATCCTTTCATGTGCATGAATTTCTAATTTATGCATAATGTTGAAAAAGGAGGTGGATTTTATAGAAATGGTCTTTGGAACTGTGGTCAAAACAAATGCTAAAACATTAAACACCAGAGTATTTAAAGAAAAGACATGTTTTGTCCCTTTTCCTACACACGTTAAGAGGATTTCTGGGCCTCTGGAGCCATAAAAACTCACACAAGAAATGTTTGCTCAAGGTTTGTTCAGTGAATGTAGTGCAACTTCAGAGGGACTGCAGAGACGTGGGGCGTTTTCTTATTAGAACACCAAGGAGGAGCAAATATAATTCCAACATCTAAAATTAATCATTACTTCACATAGGAGAAGATGCCGGGGACACCAATGAGCGTACTGACCAATAAGTCATTGCTGCAGTAATGGGAAACCCAAACCATAATGCACTACCATATCCTGGGGGGTTACATAATTTCAGTTGTGGAAGTYACCGAGCATATGAAGTGAACTGGAAGAGCGTGTTTATAATCAGCTGTAAATCAACAGATATCTCTCAGGCCAGTAATAAAGATGATGCAAACAGATGAAGTGCTGTAATTGGATTTGGTATTGCTGAAATGAAAATGTTTATTTGATTTAAAAACAATAGTTCAGATCTGTAAAGGTGGGGGTTCCATGGGAAATGGATGAACGGTTGGTATCTTGCCTGTTGCAGATAGCTTATTGAACAGGCTCAGTTTCAGAAAGAGACAAAGTGTCACTTTGCAGACATTCTTCAACAAAACAGTACAAACGTTCACTCTTCCATTTTATCGTGTACTAAGGCGACATACTGTGATGTGATGTGTGTTCTGGTAATCTCAAGTGTGTTTTAAGACCTGTAAGTACTGGGGGTGGGGGGTACAAATAAAAAAAATGTCTGAAGCACACCAATGTTTGACTTAGTAACTCAGTCAAAAAGAAAACATCAAAGGTCAAGTACAGCCATTGCTGGCTTTAAATCCAATTCATTTTTATCTTATCCTTTCGTGTCGCTGCAGTTCTGCCATATATCGTGATATTTAATGTGCATTCTGTTCTTCGGTACGATCGCTTTACATGTTTGACATTTTAAATGCTATTTCATTTCTCACCATTTTTATCAGATGTGTTTGAATAAATGTCTTTCCCTTCTCCTCCTTGAAGAATCACATCCTTTTTCCCCCTCGACTCTGATATCAGTTCTTAACTTTTGTCTATGTTGCATACATTTTGGGTATTAAAGGTTGCACACCTGAAACTGATGACTTTTACCTCATGATGTAAAAAGCGTTTGGCATGCCTGACCTTTATTGTGACATTTGAGTGGTTGATAGAAGAGCACATAGATTAGAGGGACTTTTTGTTGTTGTTCAAAAGTGAATTTCCCCCCGATGGTTCTGAAGAAAGCGCTGGCCATTTTTCAGAAAGAGGAAGCGGTGCACAGCCTCTACACACTGTGCGCAAAGGACAATGAGCCTTAACAAGGTGAAGGCTTGTCTTACCGGGCAGAAGGTTTACACGGATGGTGCGCTTCTTGCTGAGGGACTCCACCGAAGGATGCTCAACCGTGCAAGTGTACTGTCCTTCATCCTCCGCACTCACCTTCTTCAGTGTCAGTGTAGAGGAAGGCAAGATCCAGTCACCACCCTGTGAGGAATAGACAAGAGTGGAAAAATTTTTTTTTTTTTTCTTTTTGGTCTGATTGTTTGGCGCTCTGCAAGAATATAAATTGAAGTGATGGAGAGCATGTGAGAGTGGTTGACAAAAGGGATGGAAACACAAAGAGATCAGGCACCAACTGTGTGGCAAAAGATGAGATAAACAAGAAGTAAGGGAGCAGAAAGTATACTTGGTGTTCTGTGGAGGGAGAGACGATGGGGAATAGTGAATAAGAACAAGATAGCAAGGAAAAAAAAGAAGACTGGTGGGTGGACAAAGAAACAAAAACATTTCTGCTGGTGTGCGGGCTCTCGTGAGAGCAGTCCCACAAGTCTTAAATGAAGTCTATTTACCTGAGCAGTAATCCCAATGAATGAGCATGCATCGACACAAGTCAATAACCCAGATAACAGCATCATCGGCAAAGAATGATGCCGCGGCAAGACACTGTTAACACAACGCGTAATGAGATGGCAGGGGAGCGGGATGAATTGTTGACACAGAAATAGCAATACTATTATGAGATAGAGCCCAACATGGGAGGAAACAAATAATAAGCCAAACACACAGATTGGAAAACAAATGAATGTGGAGGAGGATGTACAAAATATATAAAAAAACAAAGAAAAATAAAAAACATTATACCATGCAAATGATTTGGCTCTTGGGAGTCGTAGTTCCTGCCAAGAAAGTCCATTTCACTTTGAATGGATCTGAATTAAGAGGATTTCCCATAAAGGCCAGGTCTGGCCAAAGCAGCATTTTGTATGCAAATCCACTGGCTGGAAAGGCAGTGTGCAGTTTCTGCCTCTGTCCTTCTGTCATTTGTCTGGGCCAAAGCACTCACGGCGGCTGTGTGTCAAACTGGACCACTTTCTGCCTCACATCACTCTTGTCTAATGCACACATAAAAAAATCAGCTCCTATCAACCAGAACCATCAATCACTTCCTATTATTAATCCACTGTAATTTCAGTGTAAAAAGTGTTATTAGCACCAATTATTATTAGTTATTGTTTTAAGCGACAGCACTAACCAGGTGAGAGCTAATGACAAAAGCTCTTCATGTGATCACATGGAGGACAAACAGTGTTAGTGCCATGACAAGCCCGCTGAATTGGATTTGAACTTGTAAGCCCATTTAAAACCCAGGATTAGCGGTGACCCTTTAACAAGCAGCATAATCCTGAGCCAGCTCATCAAGACAAAAACAAAAAGAGAAAACAAAAAAAAAAAAGAAAAAAAAAAGAAAACAGGAACTTGAGCTCTAGTTTTTCTTGAAGAAATGCATGTGGCTTTTCATGCAACATTTACAGCCGTTTCAGTCAAACCTTGTAAACAGCCCTCATGTGATACTGTGAAACTGCAAGAGGTGTTAGAACAGATTATTTCACGAGGATAATTATAAACTATTAACTACACAATATTTAGCATCATTGCCTTCACATTAGACTTTGTTAGAACCAAATTTGTGTTGGTTTACGTCCGTTAGCTGTGGCAGCCATCTTGAATTTGGCTGACTCCAAACAGTTATAGATGTCTACTGAATGATTGTTTTCTGAAAGCTTCAATAAAGTCAAGTGGTTAATGATATATTTTGCTAACAAACCGACAGAGTTTCATCCAACAGTTAATGTTCACGTTTTAAAAAYAGATCTCATTCGATCGGTTTGAGCTTAAAGTATGAGTTGGACTCTACTAACATCATAGCCCAGACTGAGTGACAGCCATTTTAGTCTTTGCTAAGTTTGCTAAGCTGTGGTGGCCATCTTGATTAGGACTGACTCTAAAGTAGAGTTATAAAGGAACAAAGTAAAATTACTTTACTTAAGTAAAAATGTTGGTTATGTGATCTTATTTAAGTAATTACTTTTCAGACGACATTTTACATCTACATCTTACATTTTCACGCAAAGTGTATCCAGATATAGGGTGCCTCACCAATAAAGTGAATTTAATTGTGTTTGAATGAGAAATATAAATATATACCATTCCAACTATTGCTTTGTACACAATCCATCACACCTGCACATGACACAAATCATGTCACACTCCAGCAGGACAGGGCAGATGTGTAACCAGGTGTGAAAACGAGTGTGGCAGAGATATATGCAGCTAAAGCAGGTACTCTAGTGCAGTGGTTCCCAACGTTGGGGTCGGGGCCCACAATGGGGTCCCAAAACATCAAGGTGGGGTCCTGAAAAGATTTTCTAAATTAATTAAATTAGAAAATAACAACATTTCTTTGCCTTCGTTGTAACAAAAGAGTAAGGTTAGTGTAGTTAAAATGGACAGAAATATCATAATGAATTGTTACTGTGCTCTTATTTTTTTGATGTGAAACAATGTTTGTGATCCAACAACAGTTGGGGGCTCAGGTCTCTGCTGCTGCTTTTTTGAGGGTCAGAGGCTGAAAAGTTTGGGAACAGCTGCTCTAGTGCATTCTAAATGTTTCAACATTAATATTTTAATAAAAATGTCATTATGGTTTTTAGAAAATGTTTTTGGGGGAGGTCACCTCCCAATAAATGTTTTATTCTAACTGCTCACTTTTACTCAATACTTTTAATTAACTTTTATATTTAAGAAAAAAAATATATATATATACTTACCTTATGGTAAGCTACTTGCACTTTCACTCAAGGATCACTTTGAAGTACTTTATATAACACCGCTCTAAAAGTTTATCAGTTGTAGATGTTAATCCAGTGGTTACTTTGTGAAAGTTTCCCTAAAACCTGTCCCCTGTTTCCTGACATATCTTACTAACAGCACAGCCAAATGAACAGACAAAAGCAAAAAAAAAAACATCCTCACTTTGTCATCTGCAGCAGGTGATTACTGAGAAATGGAATTTGTCTTCCCTAACATGTCTTGTTATCAGTTGCGGTGACTTTCACAGTACCTTGGAAGAGCACAGTCCCATCACCTGACTAATCAAGTTCTTGTTCTACATGCCAGCTGACACTCTGGCATTTTACACAGAGACATCTTAATTTCCCTTCAGAAACTCTTTCTCAGTTCAGTGAAGAGGGCCTATAGTTGAATTATTCAATGCCAGTTAACCAAACACTAAAAAAATAATTAGAAATCTATCCACATAATTGTTTTCAGGTTGACTGGTTCTTGTCTAGACCTCATTAAACTATTAATCCTCTGTAAGTGGGCAAGTTGCAATTCCCTGCGAGAGGTGAGGCTAAGCCAACCAGTCCCTTAAATGCAGTATGCTCCCTTCATGGAGGGGATAGGGGAGATGACAGGAAAGGGGAACCGAAGAAGATCAAAAAAGAAAAAAAAAAAGAATAAGTCAGAGAAAGAAAAGAAAGGGAGATGCGTTAGAAGGCGAGCGACAGTTAAGAGAATGCTTGAACAAAGACGGAGAGGCCAGTGGAGACCTGGTGAGGCGGGAAGGAGGCTGTAAAAAAAAAAAGAAAGCGGTCACATGGAGGGATGGGATTAACAAAGAGAATGAGGAGTTTCCAGAAGCCTAATGAGGACACCTCCGCTGTGCGCGGACCCGAGGCGTTCTCACCTCTTTCTGCCAGAAGTAGTTGGGCTCCTCTGACGCGCTGGCGGAGCACCTCACCGTCACGTCATCGCCAAGTCGCACCTTCACCTCCCCCGGGGCACCCAGGTACCTGCTGTAGCCTTCCATATACAGCAGCGGCTCCCTCAAATCTGAAAACGGCGTGCGGATGATGAAGCGTGATCAGACATTAATGAGGCAGGTAATTTAATGCACGCTGAGGCAACCTCTTGGAGCATTTGGGGACATGACTAAACATATGTTTGCAGCCGTAACATCTGGTAAATAATCAGACCTTTGAAGAACACTTGAATCAAAAGCTTAACAATGAGGGCCTCCAATTGGTGCAGACTGTAACAAGCAATCAATAGCAATGATGATAGGCTTCATCTTATCGAAGTCTTTAGAGAGGCAATGTTGTGAATAATGGCTCATTTTCTCTACTGCCTCGATAGATGGCCCCAGTCCATGCAGCTCTGTCTCCTTCCGTCCTACAGCTCATTCTAATCTTTTCCTCTTATTGATTCCTCCCATGAGGCTGTGGAGCCTATCAAGCAGCGTCAGGGTCGATATGACGGCCACCAAGAAGACAGAGGACACTGAAAATCTGACCAGCTATACGACAGATAATTCATGCAGCTATCACACGGCGGTATTGTTGTTTCAAACCGCGAGCCCTTTTCTACAGTGTGTCTTTGTTTGCATGGAGGGCAGGATAAAAATGAGTCATCCTTTCTTAGGTAACAGTATTTGCATTGAATCGTTATTATGTKTTGTTGTTGTTGTTTTTGTGTACTCTTCCCCAGCAGCCTACAAAAGCTATGTTTAGTTTTATTCATTATTAATGTGTTTTTCTATCCCTCACTGTGAAGAAAGCTGTGTCTACAGAGCCTGGGTGATGGTTTAAACCTCCTGCTGGTTGTAAATATGAGAAAATAAGTTTCAGACTCTTTCTGTTTAGTTTTCTAGCCAAGGCTATTTGCACACATGAGAGAAAGACGTGAGAAACAGAGCTCTCAGTTTGACACATTTCCTCATGAAAGCGAAAATCAGAGGTACTGTTGCACATTTGTGTTCCGTATTTCTCTAGTTTTCTCTTTAACTCGCGTCTGTGAAACATTTACAACATCCACGGTTTAATTATTTGCCAAAAATAGACACAGATTTATTCGTGCTGGGAGAGCTGCGACACAGCACCCWTTCACGTCGACACAGAAACTCACACTGGACTTTGAAGGTCAGCGGTTCTGAGGCGTTGTCTGGCGCCGTCACATTTTCATTGTCCGACACGCAGCGGAAGGCCACTCCAGAGTACATCATTGGATTGGAAATATGCAGGAACCCGGTGTTCTCCAAGGTTTCTGGCCAGTCTTCTGAGTAGCAATACCAACGCCTCAGTGATGATCCCCAAACTCTACGCCAAGCACCATAATGCTGGTTCAAAATAAAAAAAGAGAAAGGAATTTAAAAAAGGCTTGAATTTCAAAACAAATAGCTCTCACTGCAAATTGAAATAGTATTAGTACTGTWGTGCTGCATAGAATCCAAATAAATCAGCTGTTTATAATTATACCTATAATTACACGGAACTGCTCTTTTCATAAAGATACAAAACTATTGAGCTGATCATTGCTGTGGATGACCCTGCAGACTCTTCTGTAGAGTGAAGCACCTATTAAAACATGAATGCAGGTCATTGTATTCACAAATGTGAGTGCTGTGCAATAAACATGCATAATCAGAAAATTTTAAACATCCATGCATTCATTAAGGCAGGAATGGGCAACTTAAATGATGGCAGGGTCCACAATTAATTTATTTTTTGCCGACACTAACAGAGAGTCACATTCACAACACTTACCCAAAATGTAATAAAATTGCCAAAAAAGTAAAAAGTTGCTAATGTTTATGTACTAGCCACTTCAATTAACTTCTCATATTTAGCTTTGCGCAATGTGTTGTTGTGGTGACTAATATTAAAGTTCTTCATTAACGGACTAAACACACAAATTGACCTTGATATTCTGTGTACAAATGTCTAGCCCACTTAAAAAAACAACTGATTATATATATACTGTATATATA